AGAGAGTAAATCTCGTACCTTCTGCTGTGTTAGGGAGGGACAGTGGATCTGACTGGACAAGGAGTTTGAGCGTCCTTATAAAGATTGAATCACTTCTCTGTTCAGCAGCATCTGGCATCCCAGTCTTCTGAGGTTTCTCTAATTTTCAGAGTTCTACCTGAGATTCTGCCAGGGGTTGAACAGAGATGTATAATCTGAGTGGGTAGTGAGGTGTTCAGTTGTCTCCTCTGTACTTAGCTCTGTACCACCTACCCACTCACTGATAGTGTTAAAGACATTTGTTAAAACCTGGTCAGAGCTTCCTTGCTCTCTTCTGCATAAACCTTTTCATGTTTTTAGTTTGATGGGAGTCTTGAGAGGAATTGGAAGTAAAACACTTATGTTCAAGCCATTGTTTTAACCTGAAGCCAAAGATTCTTTTTTATCTTATTTTTTAAATTAGCAGAGTAAGATGAGATTTCTTCGGTTACCAAGTTCTGTGAGTTTTAGCACATGTGTGGAAGTAACCGAAAAACCCTTGTGCAAGCCGTTTATAGTCACTTTCCTCCCACACCTAATCTCTGAAAACCACTGATCTGTTTTGCATGACTATGGTTTTTTTTTTTTTTCTGTCCTTCTGAAAATATCTTATAAGTGGAAAAATACAGTAAGTAACCTATGGAGACTGACTTTTTTTCAACATAATGCCTTTGAGAGTCATATATATTATGTGTGTCAGTAATTCATTCCTTTTTATTTCTGAGTAGTAATCCATTATATGAATATACCACATTCATTCACCTGTTGAAGTATATTTGCATTGTTTTCAGTTTCTGGTGATCTTGAATAGAACAGCTGTAAACATTTGTGTACAGATTTTAATGTGAATGTAAATTTTCATTTCTCTGGGATAAATATGTAGGAGTGGGATTGTTGTGTCACATGGTAAGTGAATATTTAACTTAACAAGAAATTGCCCAACTTTTCCAGAGTGACTCTTACCATTTTGCATTCCCACCAGCAATGTCTATGAATTCTGTTTTTCATCAACACTTGATATTGTTAGTATTTTTTTTATTTTAGATGTAGTGTTATCTCACTGTGGTTTTGATTTGCATTTACCTAATGATGTTGAATATTTCCATGTGCATATTTTCTATCCATATGTACTCTTTGATAAAGTGCTGGTTCAAGTTATTTGGCCATTTTTTTAATTGAATTGTTTTCTAACTGTTGTTTTGCGATTTTTAAAAATATATTCTGGATATAAATCCTGTGTTGAATACATGATTTTCAGGTATTTTCAACTAGTCTGTACTTGGCTTTTTCATTTTCTTAACAATATCATTTGCAGAGCGTACATTTTTAATTCTGATGAAACTCACTTTATCAGTTTTTATTGTTTTATTAATCATACTTTTGGTGTCATGTCTAAGAACTCTTCACCTAATCCTAAGTCACGAAGATTTTTTGCTGTGATTTCCTATAAGCATTTTACAGTTTTACATTTACATCTGGGATCTATTTTGAGTTAGTTTTTTGTGTAAGAAGTGAGGTGTTTTAAGATTGAGGTTAATTTTTTTCCTTATGGATGTCAAATTATTCCAACTCTGTTGAAAAAGCTATTTTTCTCCATTGAATTGCCTTGTGTATTTGTCAGAAATCAACTAGCCATATTCATGTTGGTCTACTTCTGGATTCTCTTGTGCTCCATGATCTGTTTGTCTGTTTTTATAATTACACTATTTTGATTACTATGGCTTTAGAGTAAGTCTTCAAATTGTGTAGTGTGAGTCCTCCAATTTTATTCTTTTTTAGTTTTGGCTCTTTTAGTTCTTTTACCTTTCCATGTAAATTTTAGAATGATCATATCTATATCTATTAAAAATCCTAGGATTTTGATATGGAATTGTAGATGAAAGTTTTTGCACTCTAAAAATGTCGAGCCGCTTCCTCCTGGCCTTCATTTTGATGAGAAGTCCACAGTCATTTGAATTATTATTCTGTGTATTTATTCTGTCTGGTTGCTTTCAGTTTTGTTTTGTTTTGCTTTCAGTTTTTAGCATTTGAATTATGTTGGACGTGGCTGTGAACTGGACTTTGGACTTATCCTGGTGGGGATTTTCTAAGCTTCCTGAATATATAGATTTTAAATCTTTTACTGGGCTTGGGAATTCTCAGCACTATTACTTCCCTTAAGTAATTTGTTTAGGCACTGAAGTCTTTCTTTTCTTCTTTGAGGCCTCTGCTGATATGAATATTAGACCATTTTCTCTGTCCCACAGATCCCTGAGGTTTTCTTCTTTTTTTTTTTTTTTTCTGTTGTTCAGATTAGAGAATTTCTATTGATCTGTCTTTAAGCTTATTGACTTTCTTTGGTTATCTCCATTCTACCATCGAGCTGATCAAGTATGTGTTTTAATCATTTTCTTTTTCTAATTAATTTTTTCCAGTTTTATTAAGGTACAGTTGACAAAAGTTGTATGAATTTAAGGTGTGCAAATTGATCTTTTGGCATACATATGCATTGTTAATGAAATAACATAATTAATGTTAATTAAACCACTTCATCTCACAAGATTATCATTTGTATCTGTGTATGTGTGTATGTTGAGAACACTTAACTAATCTCTGAAAATTTTGAGTGTATAATACATTATTATTAACTCTAGTTACCATACTGTACATTAAGTCCCTAGACCTTATTCATCTTATAACTGAAAGTTTGTATCCTTTGACCAGCATCTCTCCATTTCCCCCACTTAATTATTGTATTTTTAATTTCAGAATGGTGAGATTTTTGTTTTTCGTTATGTCTTTTATTTCTTTGCTAAAACTTTCTATGTTCTTATTTGTTTCAAAAGAATTCACCCTTACTTCTTGGAGCATTTTTATAATAAGTTGAGTTGAGTTTAGTCACTCAGTCGTGTCTGACTCTTTGTGATCCCATGAACTGTAGCCCGCCAGGGCCCTCTGTCCATGGGATTCTCCAGGCAAGAATACTGGAGTGGGTTGCCATTTCCTTCTCCAGTTTTGGGGTTTTTTTTGTCAAAATTATCTGTTATGTTGATACTGGTATCTATTATCTTTTGCTATATGAGCTGAAATTTTTCTGATTCTTAATGTACCTTGTAATTTTGGATTGTATCCTGGACATTTTGAATATCATGTTATAAACCTCTGAGTCTTATATAAGGCCTATGACAAATGTTGATATTTTTCTTTAATAGGCAGTTAATGCAGTTGTGTTCGAGCTACACAGTCTGACCAGCCTTCCTTGGATTTTGATTTCAATGTTAATTCTGTTTTTAAGATCTTGGAAGTGCTATTTAGATATGTCCTGTGCCACCTAGAGGTCAGTCTGGGACCTGGGAGTGCGTGCGTGCTCAGTTGTGTCTGACTTTGTGACACCATGGATTGCAGCCCACCAGGCTTCTCTGTCCATGGGATTCTCCAAGCAAGAATACTGGAGTGGGTTGCCATCTTCCCCACCCAGGGATCAAACCTGTGTCTCCTGTGTCTCCTGCATTGGCAAGCAGATTCTTTACCAGCTGCACCATCTGGGAAACCCCAGGACTTGGGCAGTGATCTGTTTTTTTCTTTTTTTGTTTTAAGTTCTGCTTTTCGCATCTTTGCTATGCTCTCTAGGAGGGCTTCCCTGGTGGCTCAGTGGTAAAGAATCTGCCTTCCAATGAAGGAGACGCAGGTTTGAACTCTGGGTCGGGAAGATCCTGGAGAAAGAAATGACAACCCAACCCAGTGTTCCTGCCTGGGAAATCCCTTGGACAGAGGAGCCTGGCCAGCTACAGTCCACGTGTGTTACGTTGCTTCAGTTGTCTCTGACTCTTGCAACCCTATGGACTGTAGCCGGCCGGGCTCCCCTGTCCATGGGATTTCCCAGGCAGGAACACTGGGCTGGTTGCCATTTCCTCCTCTGGGGATCTTCCCAACTCAGGGATTGAAACTGCATCTCTTAAGACTCCTGCATTGACAGGCAGGTTCTTTACCCCTAGCGCCACCTGGGAAGCCCTGGGCTACAAGCCCATGGGGTTGCAAAAGAATTGGACACTTAGCGACTTAAACAACAAAATGCTGTCTAGGTGTGTATTCATACATGTGCAGCTTCCAGGAGAGCCTGGGAGTTCATCCACGTCTTTCTGGAGTAGCTTTTCCAAGCTCTTCCCTCTCTGAGATCTTCCTGGGACTTTTTGGTTCCCTGAGCCTCCTCATTTGGGTCCTCTTACCTGAAGCTGGAGCTTTCGCTATCCCATTCTGCAGGGCACTTCCTATGCCCACATCCAAGGCTAGGCATCAGGAGGACACAAAGAGGAAAAAGCCATAGGGGGTTCACCTTACCCTGGTGGGTCTCCAGCACCTATTCTGAGAGAGGAAGTTTTACCTCCCTCAGTATTTGGGGTGCTTGTGTATACTGCTGTAGCTGCCACTGTGAGATAGCCAGCATATAAAAGGATGAAGATGGTGGATAAAAAAGAAAAGTGAGAGATTTGTTCTATTCCTCTCTGGTAACCAACGTTCTCCTGGCTTTTCCAGTGCACCTTGGTACCTGCTTCTGGGTTTTCAGGCTGCCTTGAGTCTAGGCCAGGTGATATTAGAAGAAAAATGGGAAACTCACTACCACTTTGGTGGTACTCTAATTCTTATCTTCTTTCCCTGCCTGCCACTATATATGTTTTGGAGGTTACAAATAGCTGCTCCATGCATCCTGTCCAGGTTTTTTTTTTTTAAGTTTGACATTTTTTTTATTACAGAAATAATGCATTTTCATTGTAGAAAGCCTGGGAAATAAAGATAAATTTTCTGTAAATTCATGAACTGAATAAAACTGCTATTTTGGTGTATCATCCTTTTTTATTTCATATCTTTTTCCATCTTAACAATAAAAGTGAATTAGGTAATAAATAAAATCTTGTTTTTAATTATTTTAACTGGTACCCTTACAGCCTGGATGCTATTGACTTGTTCTAATTTGTTTTTACTAAATTTTCTCTTTTCCTTAATAGGTAGAAAGTCTTTATCCTCATGCTGGCTGGGTTGAAATTGACCCTGATGTTCTCTGGCTTCAGTTTGTTGCTGTAATAAAAGAATCTGTCAAAGGTAATTGGATTTATAAAAGTAGAGATGGTAACGTGTATTTTGTATATAATAAGAATTTTGTGGGTTTCCTAAATTATACATACAATATTTTATTGGAGTCGCAGTTTCCCAGTAGTTTGGGGAGGAAGGACATTTGTGGTTTATAGTGAACCCACTTTGTCAAGGGAGGGTAGCAGCTACTCTCTCCTCTGCTTGAAGTCTTTTTGAGCTGCAGTATCAAAGGCTCACCTTACTGTTTATTCCAGTGCCCATTCCATTTCCTGATTCGTACAAAATACCAGAGAGTTGTAAACAAAATTACAATGCTCAGTTCCTGCTCTCAGGAGTTTACATTTGAGTTACCTTTATTGTAAAATAAGTTTTCCTTTTGTTTTTTTCCTCTGCAACCTCTTAGGGCAAGTGTTCTCCTGGCTGCAGTCAGGGTCTGGAATCTTAGCTTTTTAAGAACAGTCTCAGTACAGCCTTCTTTAAGAACATGGTGAAAGAGGACTTGTAATTTCAAAAAGGTCTTTCACTTCATTTCTCTGACTAAATTGCTTCTCATAACTTTTCTGGTTTGAAGTGTTTCAAACCCTATTTTTAAAAAGTTGGAAGAATACTTGTGTGCTTTCTCCTAGACTCACATTAGCTTCCCTAGGTGATAGTTGGTTATGATGTAATAACCTGTCATCCTCAAATACTTAAGCATTATCTCCAAAGATAAGGAGTATTCCCTTACGTAAACATGTTGTAATCATCACACAGGAAATTTAACATTAACCCAGTGATATTTTCTAATACTTGATCCTCAGTATTCCCTTCTTATCTCAGTCTTGAATAATTTTTTTTTTCAATCCGGAATCCAACAAAGATGAGGCACTGCCTTTAGTAGTCAGTCTAGTCTCCTTTAATATAGATCACGTACCTCATGACACTGACAATTTTCCAAAGTACAGATCAGTTTAATAGACTATCCTGCATTTGGGGATTGTCTGTTATTTCCTATTTTCAGGCTAGGAAGGAGTACTATACAAGAGGTGGTGTGTCATCCTTAAATTAAACACAGCTCAAATTGAAGCTGTCCCTAATTTATTCAGTGGGACAAATTGCTTTTTTAAAAGAATGTCACAGAAACATGTGAGCTGCTGTATTTCAAGAAATTTGGACTTTGCAAAATCCATGTTTTTATTTGCATCCTAGCATGAGTTTGTGTAGTAAATAAGATCTGTGCTTCAGTATTTATGCTACTTTCCATGAGGGTTTCCTTTGTTGCCATCAACCAGCTTCTGTTATAGCTGATCGTTGCTTAAATGAAGATCCTATTTTTTAGTGTTATCAAGAAGAAAATAGCATCTAACTTACTTTAAGTGGTATTTGTTTTCTTTCTAATCTTTCAAGCAAAAAGTCCATTTTATTATTATTAGATTATAACTTCTTTTCCCTTTAACTAAAAAAAAATACTACAAAATCATCCTAGTAATGTTTTATTTATTAGCTCCAATTGTGTTATTAAAATCCTGAACCCAGTTGCTTTTCTCATAGATTATATTAAATAATTTCTTTTCTATATGATACTATTATAAAGAAAAACTTCCTTGGCTTTTAAATGTGTTTTATCTATCTTCATTTTTAGCTGCAGGAATAGAAATGAAACAAATTGTTGGTCTTGGCATTTCAACACAGAGAGCAACTTTTATCACATGGGACAAGTAAGTGCATTGTGTGATAAGAACTTTATTGCTAAGTTCATGCCATGGTGAGCAGATTGCTTTGAAACCTGTTTGGGGAGTTTTAAAGTTTGTGAAGAAAGAACAGTGTTGCTTGATTAAGAGAGAAGAGATTGGGTCTACTTTCTGGCTTATTATACAAGCTCCCTGCATGTCACCTGGGCTTAACTTATATAAAGTAATAGTAGTAAAAAGACTGTTGCTTTCAATACAATTCAGATAAAGCGTGGATTGAAGTTCTAAAAAATTAGCTTATACCTAAAAAGATTCAGGAGAACCTGACAAATTTTGGATACACAAGACTATGATATGATTTATATTTTAGTCTATTTCAAATTTAATTTTAAATACTTACAGCATATGAGGTATGTATGAATTAAACATGATTATAATAGTATAATGGATACCATACAGTGAATACTTATAATATTTTCTTCAGGTTTCAGTATCCTTAGAAACAAACCTGTTAGTTGTTACATCTATTTTACAAAGAAAGAAACTGAAGCTCAGAGAAATAACTATGTTATTCACAGTCACTCATTAATAAATCAAGCCAAATTCAAAATTATCTTTTTGGTTCCAGAAAATATACTCTTTCCATGACTCCTGTATTGCCTTCAACATGTATTTCTTGTTTTTTTAAGAAAAACAACAAAATCACTATAAAATATTTCTTTGTTACAGAGCTCTAGGTTCCAAAGGGCATCTTGAGCTTGGGGCAGTGGGGCTGAAAAGTGGTGGATGTAAGGGGTAAGGGTAAGTCTAAGAACTATAATCAAGCTGAGTTCACAAGAATTTTACCTTTAATTCAGTGTTGGGAAAGAGAAAGAAGTTTAAATTTTTAAATATTTGATTGTATGGGATTAAGATGGTGAAATAGGTAGACCTTGAACTTCCCTAACAAACATATCAAAACTACAACTACTTATTGAGTACTTTCTGAGAACTGAAGTACTTTCTGAGTACTTTCTGAGTACTTTCTGAAGACTATCAGAAAGGCTCTTCTACAACCAAGGTTATTAAAGGAGGGACCATGTGGAGTCTGGGAAGAAGGAAAGATAAGCAGTCTAATCAGGATCTACACCCCTAGTGGGTGACCCAGAAGAGGAGGGGGATACAGGCTTGTGCATTGTCCCTAAGAAACAAGGGGTTTAGTCCCATATTGGGCACCCTAACCCTGAAGTCCAGCACCAAGAATACAAGCCTGCTTGGTTTGAAAACCAGTAGGGCTTATCAGAGAGCTGTAGAAACCGAGACTCCAGACTTAAAGAGCATGCCACAGACTCACCTGCTCCCAGTTCCAGTGCAGAAGGAGTGGATTGAAAACACCTCACGGTCTGGGGTTGCCTTTCCAGGACTGCTCCAGCACACATCCCACCCTGCACTGGGTTGCTGCTCCAGCCTTGCCTGCTCCAGCACTGCTCCCAACCAAGTACAAATAACCACTGTACCAGGGAGAAGATGAGTTAGCTCAGATTTAAGGTTCCAGCCCCTTGGGCCTCAGCCATGCCTCTGGCCAAAGGAGTGACCACCATCACACTGGAGAGAAGAGGTGCTGGCTCAGATTTACAGCTCTAACCCCTTTGCTTATGGGCCTGCCCTAACCCTGGGAGAGGCCCCAACTCACATCTGGCTCCACTTCTAACCATTCCTATTCCAACTCTATACCCTGCTAAGATGACAGCTTCCCATGCACCCCAAATGAAGACACAGTTACTGCTTACTTCAGGTCCAGGTCTTTCACCAAAAACTGGGTACATGCAGATTGCACAGGGATGCTCCCACACAAGGACATGTCTTTAAAGACTGGGATAGGTAACTGTTTCACATAACTCGAAACAAAAAGGGAGAAGACAAATGACTATATTCCAAACAAAAGAATAACTTCCCCACAAACAAAAGTACCCCTAATGAAACAGAGATAGTAATTTACTTGATAAAAAGTTTAAAACAACAATAATAAAAATGCTCACAAACTCAGGAAAAGAATAGAGGAACCAAGTGAGAACTTCAGCAAAGAACTGGAAAATATAAAAACCAGTCAGAGCTGAAGAATACAATAATTGAAATGAAAATTTCACTAGAAAGAATTGCCAGCAGATTAAGTAATACAGAAGACTGCATAAGCGACTTGGAAGACAAAATATTGGAAACCACCCAATCAAAACAACAAAAAGAAAAAACAATTTTTAAAGGAAACTTTAAGGGATTTGTAAGATAACATCAAGCATACTAACATTCAGGTTATAGGGTTCTTGGAAGGAGACAGAGATAAAAATATTTCATCACATATTTGATGAAATTATGGCTGAAAATTTCCCTAACTTGAAGAAGGAAACAGATACCCAGATCTAGGAAGCACAGAGAGTCCCAAACAAGATAAACCCAAAGAGACTCACATGAAGACATATCATAATTGAAATGGCAAACATTAAAGAGAATTCTAAAGGCAGCAAAAGAAAAGCAAAATCACATGCAAAGGAACCCCCATAGGGCTACCTGCTGATTTTTTCAGCGGAAACTTTGTAAGCCAAAATGAAGTGGCATGATATACTTAAAATGCTGAAAGGGAAAAACCTGCAACCTAAGATACTCCACCCAGCAATGTTATCGTTCAGAAAGGAAGGAAAAACAGTTTCCCAGACAAGCAAAAACTTAAGTTAATCACCACTAAACTGGCCTTACAAGAAATGTTAAAGGATCTTTAAGTGAAAAAGAAAAGCCTATAACAAAAAATAAGAAAATATATTTGAAGGGAAAGAAATCTCACTGACATATGTAAATATACTGTAAAGACAGTTGATGAACCACTTAAATAAGCAGCAATGAAGGTTGAAAAACAAAATTGCAAAGTTTACTATTAATCAACTATAACTGTAATAAACAGTTAATGTGAAAATGTTAGTCACTCAGTAGTGTCCAACTCTTTGTGACCCCATGTACCGTAGCCCGCCTGGCTTCTCTGTCCATGGAATTCTCCAGGTAAGAATACTGGAGTGAGTAGCCATTCTTTTCTCCAGGGGATCTTCCTGACCCAGGGATCAAACCCAGTTCTTCTGCATTGCAGGCTAATTCTTTACCATCTGAGCCACCAGGGAACAGTTAATGGATATTCATGAAAATATAAAATATAACACCAAAACATAAAAATGTTGTGGGCTGGCTAGTTAAAAAAGTAGAGCTTTTAGAATGTGTTTGAACTTAAATGACTATCATTCTAAAGAAAGTGAAAAGTGAAGTCACTCAGTTGTGTCCGACTCTTTGCGACGCCATGGACTGTAGCCTACTAGGTTCCTCCGTCCATGGGGTTTTCCAGGCAAGAGTACTGGAGTGGGTTGCCATTTCCTTCTCCAGTGGATCTTCCCAACCCAGGGATTGAACCTGGGTCTCCTGCATTGTAAGCAAATGCTTTACCGTCTGAGCCACCAGGGAAGTCATTCTAAAACAAGCAGATATATTTAGAGACTGATACATATATATATATATATATAAAACCTTGTAGTAACTGCAGATCAAAGTTCTCCAATAGATACACAAAAACAAAGACAAAGGAACCCAAACATAATTTTAAAAAATTATCAAACCAAAAGAGAAGAGATTAGAAAAAGAAGATAAGAACAAAGAACTACAAAACAACCAGAAGACATGTAACGAAATGGCAAAAGGTATGTGCCTATTAATTATCACTTCTAATGTAAATAGACTAAATACTCCAATCAAAAGACATAGGGTACCTGACAGGATGAAAAAACAAGGTCCATGTATATGCAACCTACACAAGACTTACTTCAGAGCTTAAGACACACACTGAGAGTGAAGAGATTAGAAAAAGATATTTCATGCAAGTGGAAATGGGAAGCCTGGGTAACAGTACTCATATCAGACAGACTCATATAGACTTTAAAACAAAATATATACCAAGACATTATTTAGGGCATTAAATAATGATAAAGGGAGGATCCTCAATCTAAGAGGAAGATATTAGACTTGTTAATATTTATACATCCAACACAGGAGCACCTAAATATATAGAGTAAATATTAACAGACATAAAGGGAGAAATTGACATTAATAAAATAATAATAGAGAACTTTAATACCCCAGTCACATTAATGAATAGATCAGGCAAAAAACCAATAAGGAAACAATGGGCTTAAATGACATATTAGGCCAGATGGAGTTATAAATATCTATAGAACATTCCATTCAAAAACAGCACAATACCCATTCTTCTTAAGGGCATATGGAACATTCTCCAGGATAGATCACATGCTAGGCCACAAGAAAAATCTCAGTAAATTTAAGAAGATTGAAATTAAGTCCAGCCTCTTTTCTGACCACAACAATAAGAAACTAGAAATCAATTGCATGAATAAAACTGGTAAAAACACAAACAAGTGGTGACTGAAAACATGCTACCCAAAAGCCATTGGGTCAATAAAGAAAGAAGTTAAAAAAATACCTTGGGATGAATGAAAAATGTAGAAATACAACCTTCTAAAATCTATAGGACACAGCAAAAATGATTCTAAGAGGGAAATTTATAGTGATAGAAGCCTCCCTCAAGAAATAAGAAAAATCTCAAATTAGTAACCTAACTTTCCATCTAAAGCAATACACAAAAAAAGAACAGCACAAAAGCAGTAGAAAGAAGAAAATAATAAAGATCAGAGTGGAAATAGAATAGAGACCAAAAAAAAAAAAAAAGAAAAGATAAACCAAGAGCTGTAGTTTTTGAAAAGATAAACAAAATTGATAAACTTTAGTCAGACTTATAAATCAAAAGAGTGCTCAAATGTAAAGAAAATAAGAAATGAGAAAGAAATTGCAACTAACATCACAGAAATACAATCATAAGAGAATACAGCAAACAGTAATATGCCAACAAACTGGATAACCTAGAGTAAGTGAATAAGTTACTAGAAACACATTTTCCAAGACAACATCAGGAATAAATAGAAAATCTGAATAGATTGTTTATT